TCAAAAGACGAAATATGAATTTTACGTTCGACGGTGTTTTGCAAATCGTATTTTTCGCATCCCCCCCTCTCTCCCTTTTCCTCCCCTACATGCGCCTTCCCCGTAATGTTCTGCACGGTTAATGAAGAGTTCGCCGTGTCCCGGGATGGCAGCTGACGTTGCATTCATGCATGAGAGCGGCACGTCCCAGTCATTTGGCCACTCGTGCGTCTAAAAACAGGGCAAACGCGCAAGTTTTGTCCCCGTCGATGACCGGGGGTAACGCGCCTTCCATGGGAACTCGGGCCAGAAGAAAATTTCGTAGCAGGGTACGAGAGAGGGAGGGAAGGACGCGAGACCGTTGGCCCACACATCGTGTTGTCGGAACATGCGGATTGAGCCATTAAAGTCTGGTTGAGGCCTCTTTCGGGGAAATTCGCGAGACAGAGAGTTCGTTATTATCGCCGCGGCACGTCTGGAATTGCGCGTTTAAGCAGTCTAGACTGGAATATCGAGGCAGAATCGTAGGAGTATTTTTAAAACGGCAGGAATGGACGGGTTCTCTTTATATGACGCTGTAATACAATTATGATATGACATCGTTGATTTTTTTTCTCACACTTGCGATCTTATAAGTATATATACATTTTTAGCTTCTCCATATATGTAATCGACATTATTCTTGTAATGTCAGTTTTATTTTAATAATGTCTAGAAACGTAATCGCGTTATTATTATAATACGTGCCTGCCAAAAATAAAGTCGTATAATTCTCTCACGTCACGTCGGACGTATATCGATAATCATCGTTGACGTAGTCATTCCGTATATCGTCCTACACAATCGAGCACCAATACCACGAGATCGCGAAAGACGCAGTTTTTTTTTCCGTATAGAAGGGAAAGAGCGGCGCCGCGAGAAGATCGGCCATCACGCGCGAAACCCCCGCCCGCCCCCTCCCCCTCCCCTGCCGGGGAGATAATTTATTGGTCAATCAAAATGACGCATGGAGGTATAAGGTGACACGTCAGCGTACACGGTTGACCATTAATTTTAATACCCGTCAGCATCAGATCCTCCGACGTTGCTTTCCACGTTCCCTCGTTCCGGCGCGCTCTCCCGCTCCCACCCGCCACCCGCCGTACGGGTGAGCGCGTATCCATCGGCATCGGCTACCGTACGACTAATGCCCCGTTCGCCAACGACAATCATCCTCCGGAGATCTCGCCGGTCGCTCCGATCTCTCACGGCCGCCACGAATTATTATCCTCCTCTTAATCCCGGCATCGCTATAAGCGTGAACGCCGCGCCGCGCCGGGACGAGACGATCAGGTGAGGCATAAACGCCGGGAAAAAGAACCGTGCCGCGGAGGAGATACGATCGCGGTTTTCGAGGCTGCCGTGACCGGTCGGCGCGCGGATATATCGGCGCGTTGCGCGCGCGGAGCGCATAAGAACGCGGCGTCGAGAGGAATGCGAGTGCGAGCGCGAGCGTGTCGATTGATAGCGCGACGCTCTTATCGGCGTATCTACCACTACGCATTTAGCCGCTCGTATACGCGAGAGGAGGTCGCGGTCGATCCGCCGCGTAGATTTTATCACGGTCCGTCCTACGATATGCCGGCTCCCATCGTTCAGTTAACGATTATCGGTGTGTCAGTATAATGTATACGCGTAATAGATATTAGATACCGAGTATACCGGTTATATCGTAATAATTAATATCGGGCTACCACCTTATCGTTATTATTTTTTTTCTCTCTACCGTTTAAATCCATATAAGCATAAATTTTCGAAGTTACCCGAGTCATACCTCCTTTAAAATGGCCAGCTATTAAACGGCTAAATTCTCATTAATTGAGTAATAATCTCTAATAATTATCTCGAAGGATATTGCACCTTCCGCACAGACGCCTTATTGAGTAACAGGGAAGCAACTGAAACTTGTTTACTACTCTCGTATAAGAGAAATAAACTCGTTGACGCCTTCAATTTCTCGTTCATCAATTCTCGGAAGGCCAGCTACTTTCGTAACGCAAATGGCAGGAAGTACGGCGATATTTAGATAATGATCCCAGCGTTTTCTTATCAGTCGCGTAACCGGGTTAAAAAGTGCGCCGCGGCTTCGCCGGAAATGATTCCGATTTATCATCTCTCATATAGACGCGATTGAATATATTAAAGATATATATATATATATATATATATATATAAATTGTCGTGTCTACACAGGGAGCAAACCAAACGCAATGATTTTCCGCGTGCAACGGTATATATACGATCTAATAAATTCCAGCTAAAAAAGTCTTCCGCAAGTAATGCGTTACGAATTCAAGAAATTCTTTGATACCAGGAGGAAGTAGAAACTCGTTGATCACCCATCGATAAGTGGAGGATAATCTAATTCTCAGTCCGAGTCGAATTGCGCTAAATGCATGGATACGGACGCTTATCTGCGGCTAATATCGCCGCCTCGTCGAGTATTCGAGAAGTAACGAGAATCGAACGAATCACGAAGCGAAGACCAACGAGACGGATGCATAATATGTACCTGATAGGGTTCTTCTCTCTCTCTCTCTCTCTCTCTCTCTCTCTCTCGTTCACGAGAAATATACGCGGTTCGTCGAGAATGCCGAACGGGTCGGCCGGGGTTAATGCCTGCGTACCCCCTCATGTGCATCCGCTTTTCTCTTGGTTGTATCTCATTTGTAAAGATTCCGGGACAAAGGAGCAGGGAACGATCGTCTTTATGGATCTGGCGTGGCGTTTGACCCCCCCGATGTTCCCCGGGGGAGGCATCGCCCGGACGTACGGACAGACAGAAGCGCGAGTCTGTCAAGTACCGCGATTCTAATCTGACAGGGACGTATTGGGCCCCCGCGCCGCCGGCTTGACCACTCTCTGGCCGGGGCCCGATCGGTCGCCGTGTACACGTCCGGCTATTTATTAGTCCCCAACCGACGCGACCGGCATGGATTTCCATACATTCCCGAAGCGCCGAAACGCGGTCGATTTCGGCATTTCATCATTCATTGAAATCCGAAACGTATATAACGTCGGAGATCAGCCGCTTAAGAGTGAACCAGATCCGACAGATACATATTCGGCGACGACTGAATTATGCACATCCTTTTCCGATAATCTTACAAAGCTCCCGAATGAGGGAACTGCTTGTGTGCAGCGGGGAGGGAGGGAAAGGAGAGAAACCCCGACACGAAAAACATTTTTCTTCATTAACGTAAATTCATGCGCGAACGAAAACGAAATTAATGGTACTGCCACATGTAGTTGAACATGATAAAAAGTGTACGTTATTGCCGTATTTTTCAAGATAAATTATGATTTAGCAACTTGGCGCGTGCGCACGCGGAACCGCGCCGATCATCAGTCATCTAACTTGCAAGTTTTTAACGGCTCTGGTTTATTTCGGAGTTAATAATGGCCGGGCATTTGTATCCCCGCGTTCTTGTGGAAACCTTACTGGGTCACACAAGACAGGATATCGATACCTACGCCTAATCGTCATAGCGCTAAAGAGAGCCATTTCTTCTCTCGTGGACGGAGGGTATATAACGGAAGTCTAGTCGAAAGTGACTATCGTCGATTATCCGTCATGTCAGTCCTTCCACTCTAGCCGTAGCTTGTACGTTAATGTTACCTATTACTTACCGGGCACCCCTTTTGACAGCGACGCTCGAGTTTCGATGTTCCCTCGGATATCGTCGGTTGTTCGACCTTTGAATTTTGACGACAGAAGACGCTTCGCGCTCAATTACACGGCCGGGAGTCTTAAAGTTTACTCGATTTTATCTCGAATACGAAAATAAAGTTTCTCTCTCCCTCTCGTTTCGAAACTTGAAAACGCTCTCGAAACTGCGATAATGGAGATGTTATCTCAGTTATCCTTAAATGATTTTATGTGTGGGAGACGTTTAAAATAATACGTAACATTCACTCATAGGGGATGAAATAATTATACATGTTTAAACTGTATGTACATTTTCAAGAGATCCCGGAAAACAGATTCGTTATTTAAGAGTTACGCTACTTTTCCGAAAAAATCCAATATTCCCCGTACAAGCGATGTAATAAAGAGATACGGAAGGGAACGGGGACAGTACGTAGTCTCGCGTGGACAGCGATAGCGAGGGGGGTTAAATGAAGTATGATGCGCGTCAACCGACACCGCTCGCGCGATCAGCGTAACGCAACACACGCAACGCGTTTACGGTACAATGTAGGCGTGGCTGGCTTGATATCAACGATGGCCACCTTTCGACTGTAAATCAATCGATATCTCGCCTGCAGGAGGGGCTTTTCACGGGGCTCGTACGAGGGCCTGAAACGTGCCGGGGGTGGAAGCATGCGCCAAATGCTGAATGCGAATCGACCCGCCCCGCCGCTTTCATCCGCATAGAGATCGTCACGACCGTCGTTCTCGCTTTCCCTTGCAACGCGCCGAAAAAATATTTAAAAAAAAAGATCTGTCACTTTTATTTCATTTACATCGCTATGAATTATTTATAAGATAAATAGAATATAATCTAGAAATTAATATCATAACTGTATAAATTCTACATGTAATAATTATTTCTTTTGCGTTACTCTAAATTAGAAGTTCAGGGATGAACTGTTTAGAAGCGTTTATTAAAATTTTAATAGAGAAATAGCTTTACGTAAAAAAAAATATGCAAATATGTTAATTTTCTAGTCGCGTTTTCGCTTTTAGATTCGAGATTTCAAAAAAAAATTTATGGCATATTTGGTAAGTTTAGCATTATTCAAATGTAACTCGTTTCTCGCTTCGGTGACGCAACAACTTATTTGCCTGGTATAGTCATCGATCGTGACATGTCTCGCGGATGACATGTCGCCATGTCGTAATTCATTAATCGGGTTTTCGATTTCGCGCACACAGCTGTCGACGTCTGTCGCGGATTATACTTCATCGCGAACAAACATTCACGTGACTGGGAGAGAGAAAGAGAGGTAGGTGTTGACAAAAATAAATCATGCTCATGTTGGCTTGATAATGGGAATATTTAATTCGAATTTAAATAATCTTACAAGTATCAGTTGTCGCGTGATCGTTCGTAATGCGCTCTCGCTACGCTTCATATACCATATGTAAATAAATAGCTAAGTTACATTTTAAACAGTCTATCGGGACAACGCCGTCGCTAAGTGGTAAATTATGTACACGTCGCTCCGCAATTACATATACAACACACCTATACATAGCTTCATCTCTGTCTCTATTTACTTCTTTCTCTATTATGTATAATCTTCTATTGCACGTTGCAATCACTCCAGGTTTGTTTTTCGCAGTATTATAATATCTTACATTTTTACAATAAATTAACGAAAAGTCTGATTCCTCCTTACTTTAACTCGCCCGATCCCGCGATTTTTCACCAGACGGTCCTGCAAGATTTCGCGTAAACGATCTAGACCGAAAAAAAATTGCAAAAAATGGCACTTGTTAATATCCTTCGTGACGAATTAACCGCCGCATGCCATCGCACGATAATCGAAGCTAATCGAATGTATTTCATTTCCTCGACTCGATCAATTTTGCGCGAGAGAAGATTATCCAATAATATTATCAGTAACATTAGTAATATCTCTCGTTGGAAAAATCGTTTCTTTATCTTCCAATGATACAAAATATTATTAGCTGGTTCTCATTTCTCGCACAGTAATATCTTATACAGGGTATCTCAGGAAATTCGTTCGTTTTCTGAGACACCTTGCATCATCGATTGCTCCTTTCCTAAAAAAATCCGATTCAACTGTACGTGTGCTGCGATCTAGGAACGTGCGTCGTGGCGTTTACTTCGTCTCTTCTCAAAACGGATGGCAAGGAAACGGCGACCGTAACTTTCGCGTAATTCGCGTATCCATCTCGGCAAGACTAACTTTCCCGCTCACGCGATCACTTCGAACGAGGGCAAGCGACATTCGCCAAACTGTTGTTCTATCGGAAGCTCTAATTACAAGACAAGAATTCCTCGAAGTTGACTCTGTCTAACGAGTTGTACTAATACGTCTAGCGAGAAATAAATACTCCAGTCTTTCATTTTAAGGAAGAGAAATGGCAGACCGTTGACTTTGGTCCGCTCTACGAGTTTCTTTTTTTCTTTATTAGCTTTTTGACCTGATAAATATGTGACTCTCTTCAAAGTAATATATACTATATATTTATAATTTTCTTTTTTTTTTAATAATATGAAGATTTACACCGCGCTTTGGTTGATTCACGATTTATTTTCGAAGACTTGCAAAGTCAGCAAAATAAGATAAAAATACTTTTCAACGAATAACGGTCTTATTCTTTTTTTTTTGCAGACGAAAAACGATTGGATTATTTTATGAAATTCTAACATCGAATGTTTTCCGATCGTATTGCGAGAATTTTTTTATATTAATCTGGTATTTCGAGATTCTATTTATCCTTTTCTCTAGAAAATTCTTACTCACAGAATTAAAATCGGATAGAGGACGATTCGACCTTCGCTTACAGCTCCTTTGGATTCAGATACGAAATTCAAAGTTGCAAAATTAGACTTTGCCGCGCGTTTAAGCTTGCAACCGTCATTTCGCTTGAAGCTCCGCGGCCTGTTCCTCCTCCTCCTTAGTAAGCGGCACCGTCGAGTGATTGTAGAGCCCCTGCGCCATCAGCTGAAGCGCCAGCGGATTTTTCTGGCCGCTGGCCTTCTTGATTTTCGCCCGCTTGTTCTGGAACCAGATCTTGATCTGCGCCTCGTTCAGACCCAAATCCCTCGAGAGCTGCTGCCTCCGTCGCTCCGTCAGGTATCGGTTCTCCGCGAATTCCCTCTTCAATCTCGCCAACTGTTCGCCGCTGAACGCCGTCCTGGGACGCTTCTCCTCGGGGGTGCCGCCGCCGCGTCCGTCTGTCCTCTTCACTCGTCTCGTGCGCGGACCTGGAACACGGGATGGTTCTAGCGTTAACTCGTATCTGTCAATATGTCCGTCCAAGGACATCTCTGCAACGCGTACAAAGATATCACATTGAAGTAAAATATAGTGAAACTAATCGGGTGAACTTTATATAATAATTTTTTTTTCTCTCTTACAGAGGTAGATACATTATAGATAAATGATCGTACATTTTCAGATTAAAAGAGATTTCCTCGAAACGTCCCCCCCCCCCTCTCATAAAGTTTTCATTTTTTTTATTCGTTAGCAACGCGAGTTTCTCAATCGCGAGTTGCTATCGCAGTAAAGTGGAATTTCATAACGGATAACGATACGCGAGACGTCGAGGTTTTAAACAATATATGCTTCGCAATACCGCTCCACCGGGTAGACATTGATTCAACAAGTTTACACGCCGATAAATCTGAGAAATTAACGAACCCCCGGTCGGCAAGTTTTACGGCAACTTTTATTGTCTAGGCCTGTCTCAAGAGAGAGAGAGAGAGTTTTTCTCTCCGCGGCGCGGCGCGGAGTTTAAGTCCGGTTATACGCGCGTTTGTGTTTTCCATAACAAGCCGGTTACTTGGGAGGAGCCGCGCGCGAGGTCGGAAAGTTCGTCGATGGAATAAACGTCCGGGGGGCTGAAAAGATCGTCCTGCCGACGAAGTAAATCCTTCCGTCTCGCGCGATCCCATACCTGTGTGCAGCCTTATCGCGCGCTTGCGTTCGCGCGCGGAATCGCCGTGACGCCTCTTGGACGGACTTGGCAGCGGCGGCGGTTTTATCGTAAATCAAACGCATTATTATTGCCGCCACGTTGCGCATCTTATGCCGTCGCGATCACCGTCACCGTTCGCGCGTTTAGCGTTGCGTCATCGGCGAGATCTGATCGGCTTTGCGCGAGATTTCGACAAAGAAATCTCCCGCGAGACGTGAGTCTTACCGACTATGAGATACAATTAACAGGAAGAGAGATAAATGTGAGGATAAGTGTTAGATAATAAACATCCGGTTATTTTTACACGAAAGATAATTTGAATTTCTCAATATGTGAGAAAATATTGCGAATTCGGTGGACATTTACTTGACGAAAAGTATAAGATTCTTTAGAATTTATTTAATTCGAGCTGTCACGCGCGTAAGAGGATATCTCGCGACGCGCGTCGTTTCGCCAAATAAGGGCCGCGCGAAGCACATTACGCGATCCTAAGCTCGCTTTCCCCCCTTCTCGCCTCTCCCCCGCGATTCTGTACTTCCTCTCGTGTGATTTCCGCATGTAATTCCCAACTAATAATTCACGGGATAAATACTGTGCGCCGCCCGGCGCGGCACGAACGCACCGCGTTTATATACCGGCGCGCACCATCACCGGCAGCTATAATTGCGTATAAATCAAATCATAACGATCAACACCGGCGTTATCGGTCGGTCCGATCTGCTGAATATTCCGATGGAAATTTCGAGACCGCCTCGCGCGATGATCGGCCTGCGCCATACCTACACGTCGCCCGGTCGTTTCCAAAGCGAGAAATCGTATTACCTCCTCGCGTGGAAAAAGCGCGTAGATCGAACCGCTCTTTACGTGATTCTAGCAGACGTCTTCACATGATTTCGAGCCATCGATCACATCATATCGGCGCGGTGCTTTGAAGTTTATAAAACTGAATAAATTTCGTAGGTAAAAGAAAAAAAAAGATCGCAAGATGTTTTGTATAATATATAACGAAAATAAAGATTCTTACGATAAATATTTTTTTAACATTATATTACACTTTTGCTTAAAAAAAACTGACATAACTGAGTTTCCTAAGAGAAAAGGGAAAACTATTTTTCAACTTGACAGAAAATTATTGATTAATAAAATATCGGCAAAAAGAACATACTCTTAACTCGATTAAATATAATTTTTCTTTAACAATCTTTAAAGAGTCACATTTTTTGAGTTGTGACAATTTTGATATATTCTTCTAACACATACAGAGGACTAAATTATGGGCAAACTATGAAGTTAGTTTACTGTTGATAATTGATAGAATAATGTTTACTTAACTCATGGTAATAACTAAAAAAAAAAATCACGTTTTTTGAGTTGTCACTTTTGAAACACAAGAGTGTGATATATCTTGACGTTTCTTGATACGCATTTATCACTTGATAATCGTTTTTTTTTCTTCAAAGTTTATAAAATTTTGTATTCAAAAATTACATTTGCATTTTCCATATTTTAATGGACTTTTCGGATAGTCGTACGTTCTATTGGATATTGATTTTTAAGGAGGAAACAATCGCGCTGCTAAAGAATATCAAACTTTAGAAGGGAAATCTCTTGATTGCCATGCAACGTCAAAGAGTTCGTCTGTGACCAGGCTTCAACGGCCGGCCGAGGAGAGATCAGAAATTACAGGCTTGCGGAGTACAAGTCGCATTGCAAATGATAATTATCGAATGTTGCTTGCGCGGTAGTAAATTACTGTCGACGACGAGGGCCGTCCGGCACGTATGAATTTCCCAGTGAAAATCGTTTTACAACGCGTAATCATTCAAAGCTGAAGATCATGGTACATGCTTTAAGTAATATTATCGGAAAAGCAGTTTGTTCCGCACGATCGAGCATCGGCGTCGACGTCCGCGTCGTCGCGACTTAAGTCGTTAGTTTCCCGTCTCCGATTGGCTCTTACAGCCGGCGACGCGATCGATTTCTACACGTGCGCGGTCATAAAAAAAAATCTCCCAAGAAATTCATCTTCGTCGAGCCCGATGACGCCCGTAAAATATCTTACAAGGCTGGCGACTGCGACGCATCGCTGATTTTTTTTTTTTGCGTTTCGCCAGACGTGCCAATATTTATGAAAGAGAAATATTTATCAAGGTATATGTAACGGTAACACGTGTCATACGTCGTATTCAACAAATACGACGTATGACACGTTATTTTTTATTTGCGATTTACGTAACCAACAAGAGTTATGGGACCTCCAATTTCCTGAATTACTTTAAAGTCCGATCTATAGATGTAATAGGTAAACCTTGAGCCTTTTGCTCTAAATTCTAAACTATGAACTGTAATATTTTTTTCCGACGTTCCTTTAAGTCTTGATCCTTAAGCTTTAAACAAATAAGTTACATACTAATGGTAAAATTAAAAGTTTAGAGCAAAATATCGTCGCAACTCAAAATTTAAAGCAACAGGCTAAAGATTTAGATTTTACTACCTGTTGATTAGAGCTTAGAAATGAAATTCTGGATTCATAAAGAGAGAGAAAGAGAAAGAAAGGAAAAATACATGAAAAATAATTTTTCAAGGCTATTCAACAAAAACGAATACCTAAAGCTCTCGCTCGCGGAGTCTCGCGACGGGTATCGAGACGTCGGGCTAGCTGCGCTAAACGTGCGCATACCATCCTTGGCAGTTTTCTCCTCCTCAGGAATGACTGAGGTAACGAACAGCCCGGCAGTCTAATTACTTAAGCGAGGCAGTCTTGCAGTCAAGCGCAGGAAACGCGGCGCCGGAGAAGAGAAGAGCTTCTCGCGCGCTCTCCCCCAGACTCCTCTTTCTCTCTCTCTCTCTCTCACTCACTCTCTTCTCATTCTCGCCCTTCCCTATACTTACGGTAATCCCTCTCCAAAGACTCGAGGGTAAAACCAATAATGTTAAGGCGCCCCCGCTCTAAGCGCAACCCCAAAAGTACTCCTCGACGGAATACCCGGCGACGACGTGCCGCAGCCTCGGAGAAACACTAATTTCCTCATCTCACTCCTAGAGATAGACGTCAGCTCGTAGCTCGGTCTGTCAGTTTAATTGCATTTTTTCCGCTGCACAATCATGCACACGCGCGCGCGGACATGACTGCGTACGTATACATATAGCGACGTGACATTTACATTGCTAATCAGCTCGGCCGTTACGCTGGAATTACGCGGCGCTGAGTGATTTAAACAAACATCATACTGATTTTTCATTTGCATGTGAATAATTTTATTGTAAAATACGAGGCAGGCGCTCTCGACCTCCCCGGCCGTCACGGAGGAGAATGAAAAAGTGTATCATTAAAATTCACGCCGCGGCGTGTCGGTAGTACAAAGGATATAGAGCTGCAAATATCGCTCGTCCATCGGCGATTGACCGCACTACTAATTTTCTCGTTCTATTCTTGAGATAGATGTCAGCTACTGGCCTCTATAGCTTCACCTTCGGGCGATTCCGCGCGTAACGAATAGCAGCTGCTATTCTAACCGCGATCGGCCCTTTCAGTCGCTACTGCTCGACTTGCCCGTCACGTTGCTTTTAATTACGTCCGTATATATCGGCAGAAAACGCGAAGGAGGAGCGCGGCGGCGGAGAGGCTAAAACGAGGGAGCGGTGTCTAGAATTCGTTAAAAATGATCTGTAAATTAGTAGGATTCCGCGCGGAGCAAATGGCCGACGATCGTGTCCGGAGAGTGAATTGCGTTCCTCGAACGCGCGTGCACGTTAAATTTAACGCGATATTTTAGCCGAACGGTTCTGGGGTAACAAACGGGCATACGATCGAGACGCGACGTGACAAAACAATGTCGTGAAATTAATTAGCGGAGCATTTTGAATGAATTTCAACGTACTTACTCGGCCTATCTTTCGACCAGTTCGTACATAGAGATAGATTGTCATATACCCGAGGCGAGAAAATCTGAATGTAGAAAGCTGAACTGTAATTTCATCTGACAGAATTAGAAAGTACGAAAAACAATACGGGACGAGAATATATTTTTCAGAATTCGGTCGTAAACTAATAATAATCGTAAACTCTTCTCGAGAGGCGCTGCAGCTTTCGCCCGCGACCCGCGCGCGCCTTTCTTCCTTTACCCCCGCGGAGATCCTTTGCGTCTCAAACGCCGCTCTCGTGACGCGATAATTACAGCGTTTATGAACGAAGCTCGCCGTATAGAGCGTGTCGGCGACACAATGAGAGTCGGCAATCATCCTGGATGATGCACCCGGACGGGCGAAGAGGGAGGTGCCGGTTAGCTGCAGCGCCTCGGTCTCGCTTTCAGATAGGCCACGCGCGATTAAGTGGCCGTAGGCGAGGTAAGTCGTACACGAATCGCCCTCGATACGTATAAAGCGATCTCCCTCTTCTTACTTGCTCCTCTTCTTCTTGAACTCCCTCAAAAGAGGGAAGGCTAGCTCCAAATCTTTTAGTATTCGGAGGCTTATTGGGCCAACATCTAATGATAGTAGCGCTTATCTGATGTATTGACTGTATGGGCGTGTATCCAAGATTTTTTTTTTCGGAAGGGTTTTATCAATTTTGTTAACTTAACGCGTAAATAGCAATTTTTTGCATTCGTGAATTACTTTATTCGATATTCTACATAAATGGGTATCATTAAAGTTCCATATCATAAATTTTAGAAAAAATATTTGGTTTTGTAAACCTAAAAACATAAATAAAAATTTCAGGGGGAAAGGTCGAACACCCCAAACCCCTCCTTGGAATACGCCCGTACATTGATGTGAAAACCGATATATGTAATATGTATATATAGATGTATTTTCGATAGAGAGATGGAATCTTTTTACAGTCTTCTTACAAAATTACACAGAAATGTATATGTGTACCTGTAATTTGTAAATGTGTGTGAGTGTCCTGAGTCGGTAGGTTCCCTAAGCTTAAAAAAAATTGAACCGATCTTCCCTGCAATCCCGCTAAAGTGCCATCCGGCTCTTTCATATTACCCGCGTATCCCTTTTAGTCGCACGGAACACATAGGATACGAAACGGATCGCAGGAAGGGAAACAGCTGGAGGAGTTAAAGTTGAAAGTGTTGTTAAAGTTGTCCCCGCGCACAATTTACCGGGGGAAGGGGAGGGGAGCGGTCTGCGCGAAATGATGCGAGTGACACAGGCCGCGCTTGCGACGTACAAAGTTGCCGGATGAAAAACCTGCGTGTTGGTTTGGGTCGTTTAAGTATTCATGACTAAAGGCGGTCCTCTCTCTCCTCTCCTTCCTCTTCCTCCTTTCGACCGATGTCGTCCGGTGATTACGGCAGTGGACTAGCATTGACAACTTAATGATAAGCCTCCGCCGCGCAAAAGACGGGCAATAAGTGATTATTACATTTTAATGGAGCGTACGCTTAATCGAGATTTGTTACAAGAAACGAGGCCATTTTCCTGGCGATCTCGCAACTGCGAATGTAATTTCGACAATCTTAGCTCGTTATTATTGTAGACAGGACGTTAAATACCTTATACGTGGACGTTAAATAAGACAATTTACCGGTTGTTTTGAAACGGCAATGTCGCCATGATGTGAAGCCGCGCGTTTTAATTAAGAGAGAACAAAAAAGAATTGATCTTGTTCACCTTCGCGATACAAACATTACCAGCAGGTTGCTGCCGTAAGAGATAACGAATGCATTGCGTTAAATCAGCGTTGCGAAATTTATTGCCGATAATTATGATATCCTCGTTAAAAGACGGCGAGTTGATACGTTAATAGAATGATACGAAGGAAGAGGAATACGACCGTCGTTAAGTCGTTAAGGCCATACGTTGCCCCGATGCAACATTGGCGAAGACGCGCCTCACTCAATTTTCACCAATTAGTCGACGACGCAAGCTCGATGTCGGTCCTACGGCCGTGTAAAGAAAAGTGCAATGCTCGCTCTCTCTCTCTCTCTCTCTAGCATCAGCTCCAGGCTACCAGCGACATTAGCTCCGGAACGATAATTTCAACAAGGAAGTCTCTTGAATCTCGTTCCCTCTCGTTTCGGCAGTCTACAGTTTATCTTTATGTTCTACCTTCTACCATTACCGACATTCTAAAAGATCCTTCTAAGCGTCCTTTAATCTGATACGGCATGATAATTTATAGGTAATGGCGACCTCGGGAGCGTAGAATGTAATAAACGTGAGGCATATCGGATAATGACGGGGAGAAGCATCGAAACGAATCACGAGGATGATCGGGCCGATTGAGCGCGCGTCGCGCGCGTTCTCGCGGTTGCGAATCGGAATAGAACGATCAACCGCGCGCGCGCGCGGACGGTCGCCCGCGATCGACTTCTGTCCTTTCCATGAATCCGATCGTTCCCCGTCCTTGTCCGGGTATGCGCGTCGGGATATGTTAGGAACGAACCGCGAGCCGCGGCCTGAGTTATGACTATGGCCATTACTTGGGACAAACGAGGCTAAGCGTGTCGACACGGAGAGCCGAGAGCGCGCGGGCAGGTCTCGTCGATTCTCCCGAGTCATTCTCGTCTCTCGAGAATTACGAGTGCTCTCTTTCTTTCTCATTCTCTCTTTTCCTCGAGTCGCGAGCCATCAGCGTGAGCTCGCAGCTCTCGCGATTGACAGTTTTAAGACCCGACGTTGAGCGCCCGCGTCGGCGCTCGTTATCCAGGACGCGGATTCCGCATAGGCGCGCTTTATGTATTTCCTACGCTCGCCGCGAGCAAATATACGATATATCGCGAGCCGTGGCATAGCGATACCCTGTAACCCACATTTTCGAATTATTTATGTCTGCAAGGTTTTTGCCGCGATCCGCGGCTGTCTCTGCCGCGTATACGTCAACGCGCCGATGGTATATCGGAATCAAAAGCGTAGACCGGCCGGGGTATACAGAACGCAGCGCGGCGAAAAAGGTAGTTTATGGCAGTACGTTCTAAGGAGGACTAATTCTCTCTCTTTGAAATTGAAAAAGTTGCACACCGAGTAAAATTCCGCGCACGTATACGAAGAAAATAAGACTGAAATAGTGAAGCAAAATCTTCTGGAAAGTCATTCGATACGCAGACATAATAAACGACGTTCCTAAGTATTTACAAGAAAAATATAATGTGTATATCTTCAAGTAATAATGACATTCGCCAATCGTACTTTGAAAGCTGTAAATTAATCCATACATTAATTTATTTATACAGTTAATTACAGTGCAAATCGCAAAGAGGTGAAAGTCTCGTCTTACATTTCGATGGATCGATCTGATTGCAAACCACTGGATATCCATACGCGTCATTGAGATATCGATTTAACGCAGACATGCCGTCGAGCGATCGAGCACACGGGAGGGAGGGAGGGGGGGGGGAGCAAGCTTACACAATAAGCGTATTAACGGCTTCGTTCAGAAAAGCTCACGTTCCCTGATGCCATTTCGTCATTAGTCTCGTCTAGCCCGAGAGAGAGCACGGCTCGACTGTAACTGCCGTGGGTCGTTACTTACTTCGTCCTGAGAACAAAAAAGAAAAAACATACCGATTAAAACTCCTGTCCTTCCGAACAACTTCATCAAACGTACAATTTCACATTTATTTCATTTTCTCTGTGCACACAATTAATGTCGTCCGTTATCAATATATGTATCTTACACATAGCAATGTTAATGCAGAAATAGATTTCCGATGATTGACGTCGCTATTGTTACAACTAACAATAAGCCAGATTCTGAGATTTAAAAGGCGGAGCAAACTGACTGTGGTCCATATACTGCTCTCAGCTTTCATCTCGTTGAACTGGCACCGACTTTTCAGACACATACTTACAACCATATAGCGTCAGGATTTTTTGTCTTTGACTTTTCTTTCGCTTGAGATATTGTTATAAATATCGCTTGTTACGCGCGGTTTACCATCGCGGTTGACTGGATCTCTTACGTATACATGCGCAGTCTTCGTCTAAGGTGTTCCCGGAGTTAAACCCCCACAGAAACTGTACGAAAAGTATAACCATTGGATCCGCGGCTATATCCATAACCATAAATAATGATCGCTGATTGGTCACTCGTCGATCGTTACCCGAGTAGTACGTGACTGCGTTTACGTTTCCACGGGTCGTTAACTCGTTTCCATTAAGGCGCGGTCTTGTCTGCCTCTTTTCCTTTATCGCCGTTTCTTTCCGTCTTCCCCTCCCCCCCACCCCCCTCTTTCTCTGTTCCTCGCGTATACGTTCCTCTATACGTCGGCTAACTATCATCCGATTTTAGACGCGCGGCATGTGTATCTTAACATTACGCGGCGATTAAGCGCCGTCCCGGTAACGCGACCGGTATTTCTTAAATGACTCTTCCACCAGTAGGTATAAAACCACCACGATACGTCATGTCCTCGTGCTTCCATATGTGTAGAAATATTTTCTGGCGCAACCGTTGCGTTGTTACGTAACTCCGGTAATCACCGGTATTTCTTTCACGACGGATTTAATGTCACGAATTAAATACTTATTCAAAAGTCCGATTTTTTAAATGTACATTTTAAAGACGATTTATTCAGGTGATAATATTTCTTTTTAATTGAGATTTTATGCAATATTGTAGTTATTCTTTTATGACGGATTTAGCACCACGAAACGATCAAACAATTCAACTTTTAATGTGTACATTTTTAAAGATTTATTTTAAATTTAAAAAATGTAGATTTTATGCAAGACTGTGAAAATGTCAGAAGAATGAGAATTTGAGTGCAGAAGGATCTGTCTTTCCGATGTTAATCCTCTCTCGAGGGATGCGCGACTCGCGATAATAAGCATCAAAAATTACGAGCAGAAGACACTTGTGAGTAATGCGTAGCTCGAAGAGACGATTAATAGCTTCATTGCATCCTACGCCGCCGAAGTACCGGTTTTACCAACGAGAACGCCCCTTTCTTATCCCTCTCGACCCTTGTATTTGCTTTCGATCTTTCTCTTCCTCGCTGACTTCGTCACCTGTTCTCTTCGCAAAGCGATCAAGCGTGTAATAAGCAACAATAAATTTTACACAGTTTCTAATGCGTGTCGTCAGTTTGTGCGGCACTGTCTAATATTTTTCATAAATCTATAATTAGTTGTATAAAAATATTTTTAAGAAAATTGCATCAAAACGTAGAAAAACTTTGTTGCTTAGACGTTTCGTGCGGCTGTACAAGTTCTCGAGCCGTAATGTAGTTGGCGCCGTACAAAAAGGATGTGTCTCTACACTTCGGATCGCGGATGAAAGGGTTTTAGAAAGCGGCGATCCGTCCTGGATCCCAATCGCCAACGTGGCGCAAAGCAGGAACTATAATCTCCCGAACGTCTTTCGCCATTTAGTTTTCGCGTTAGCCCCGATGTTATCTCTCTCTCTCTCTCTCTCTCTCTCTCTCTCGTGGAGGAAAGTCACTCCGGTAAGGAATCATTGCGCTCCAACGCCGCAGTCACGATCACCGTATTGCTACACATCGGCGTCGTGTCTTGTGTGTTGTAGGCGTGACCGCGGCACTGTTGAGATCTTTATCTGGTTCGTCATTACATTATTACGTTACATATCGGGATTACATCGGTCTCCTCCCCCGGATTAAGAGGAAGGGATGCGGGGGAGGGGGAGGTACACATCGAGACCTATGGGTTAACGCGCGGGTAAGCGCACGAGACATACGAGACATATACTCCGCGACTTGCCGGCGAAACAAAATCACCACGACGACGCGCGCGATGTACATTGTTCTCTCGCGTCGTGTAAAGACTTGATACGCGCTCGCGCGCGCACGCCGTTATTAATTATTATGTTGCGCGTACCGAGTTATCGCGCAGATCATCGATCGTCACGGCGATGATCGTATCGTTCCGCGTCTATCTTGTTTCTTTCGGCGAAAATACGCGGAGGAATTCGAGACTTCGCGGTAGCTGATTTGCGTCAACAAGCAGGCGTATATAATAGGTACTTTTGATAGATAGATTCATTGCAAAATGTGTTGAGATTTGACGAAGAGGATACATGCTTGTTAAGGTTGCGCCTCGGTCATTATAGAATTATCATGAAATTAAGGAGAAAAATCTCAAATTTTTTTTTTCGTGTATGTATATATAAATCATTTTTTTTAAGCTCATAATATTAATTAAATGTACGCGAAGTCCTTGAGAAATACGGAGCAAACGCGGAACAGGGAATCTCGAGTAAGAGGGAAAAGAGAAGATGTAGAATTTATTAAACATGACATGTAAGTATGATTTATTCCGATACGCGTGATTTACCTTTGAGGCCACCATGTGATTACCGATTTATGAGGCTATCATCTTACAAGAAAATTATTAACGTTTTCATTCGCGTTATAAACGAGATATCGTAACTTTATGCTGAATAACGCCGTTCTATTCCTAGATATTCCGGACGCTGATGTAATTGACGATTAATTGAATTAAAAGCGAGAGACGCGCGCGTATGAATTTGCGTACACGCGGATTCGCGAGGTGATTCGCGACCTGGCGCAACGCGCGAGTGAGTTACGATGCCGATGCACATCGATGCCGCTTAAATATCATTAATCAGCGAATTCAGCGGCGTCGTAATCGAGAGGAGTCTATTTCGAATTAAACCAATCGCGAATGGCAATTACGGCGCTCCGTAAAACGGCGTACTTACGATCGTCCCGTCTCTCGACGATCTTGTCTTTCGAACGCGTCTTTCTCACGACGGCGGGGGTAAAACGTTTTCACGCAACGACGTTTCACGCGACCGCTCCGTGCAAGGTGTTTGTTGCATGCCGCACAGAGCGCACTGTGTATGTATACACATCGCTGCGCGGACCGCGAAGCGGCGCGTGTATAATACCGGCGGCGCCGTTATCGAATCGTGCGTTACCGCGATTTAATGACGCGATTTATCGGCGCTCAGCGCGCGCGTCGCGCCCGCGCCGCCCCATCCCGTATAGATACTGCACATCCCGTAATCAGATACAGCGCTAACGCTCGCGATCGTTCGCGATCACGTAAGCCCCGCGGGTCCCATATATCCCGCGCCGGCGAGAAGCCGACGTGATCGCGACCGCGCCCTCCGTAATGCGAGATACTTTTGGCACTTTAAACCTCGATCTGTCTCACGAGAGTCGGAGACCGTGTCTGCTTTTCCCAATCACGCTCGTTTCGGACGATTAAAGGGTTCATTGCTTCGCGTACCGAACGCGGTATTTAACGGAGTTATACCATTTCATTGGTACGCGATTCGTTATCTTGTACGTTCGTGTTAGAACGAAGATAAGATGTTAAGAGGGACGGGGTGACGTGGAGACGTAATCTGTTTCGCACGCGGTTTCCCTCTGACGCGCGAAAGGTCGCGCGAGCGAACGCGCGCGCGTTAACACGCGACGCGCATTTCCGTGCCGTGTGTTTTCGCGGTGTACTCTCCACCGTGTTATTTATCCGTGAACGCGCGCGCGTTTCACGTTTGTTCCACCTTATTTTCAAATGCACGACATTATCTCGCCTCGTTGAGCGCGGCTGGGATAAGCGCGCAGGCGTGAGGAACACCGTAATTACCACCGCATGATTACCACCGGATTTCATGTTGGCGATTTTGTGCACGTTTGGTATTTAAGCCGCGAGATTTGTTTTAAAATGGGTAATATTAACACCGCTGGCTGATTTATGGAAAATGATTAAATCGAAAGAACTCCCTCTCTGTATATATACCTTCGCGCCGCGCTCTCACTCTTATTCTCTCTGCTATATCGTAACACATCTCTTTACTTCTCACGATTGTCGTAAGAAGTAAAGAGCCGCTGCTCGAGTATCTCTACCGAAGGAGAAATTATCCTTTATTCTTATACATCTTGCAATCGCTTAATTGTTTCGAGTTATTGTACAGACGATTATGAATGTTACAATCGACGTTTCTCTGGCTCTAAAATTAATCACATCAATTATTTCTCCTCCTTTTTAAAGTAGAGATTAAATATCGTATTGCCGCTCCCATTCCGGCTCGCTCGTAGATCTCGTCTCAACAGATACTTGAATAGACACACTTTTAGCCGCTCCTCTCTATCCACAAGACTACTTCCCGGTTCGTGAATTTAGCAGTTTGATTAAATCTCACGGACGCGCGTGTTTCACTTTCCCTCAGGTCGGGAGTTATGTTTATCTGATTCCCGGTCGGGAGTCAATACAACGAGAATGCGGCGCAATTAGTATCTCATTAGACAGCGCGACTGTTCTAATTCCTTAGTTTCGCATTAGAAACGTCACTCCGCCGTGGAACGTAACGTGACGTTCCCTCGTGCCACTCTTCGGCTTCTCTCTCTCTCTCTCTCTCTCTCTCTTTCTTGGCTGGCTCACCCTTTCGCCCTATTACGTTTCCTCGGCTTCTCCAAGCATGTGGCGAGGAACTTGGTACGCACCAAAGTAAACTACCACCACTCCCGCCTCTCTTACATGGTGATTGACGCGAGCCGACTCGGTGTCGGCTCGGAACGGTTATCCGTTTACCGTTTCAAAACGCTACCG